CATGATTGAGAACGAGACATGGGACCTGTGAGACTTGCCTCCTGGGAAGAAGGCAATCACGTCCAAGATGATCTATAGGCACAAGTATGGACCTGAAGGGGAGCTGACCCGCTACAAGTCTAGGCTTGTGGCAAGGGGGTTTTAGCAGACAAAGGGGAAGGACTATGATGAGTCGTTTGCTTCTGTAGGGAAAGGAACAACACTAAGGGTGCTGTTGGCGATAGCTGCAGTTGTGGGATGGAATATTCGGCAGATGGACATTGTGACTGCCTTTCTGAATGGGATCATTCTAGAGGAGGTGTACATGAAGCAGCCAGAGGGGCTGGATGATGGGAGCGGCAGGGTCCGCAGGCTGAAGAAGGCCATCTATGGCCTTAAGCAGGCGCCTCGTGCATGGTATCACAAGTTGGAGGAGGCGCTGCTGGCTGGGGGTTTCAAGAAGAGTGAGTGTGACCCCAGCCTGTTCCTGCTGCAGAAGAAGCATGAAATCCTCATGCTCTTGGTGTATGTGGATGATATCCTTCTCTTCTCTGTATCAACTGCATTGCTGGACAGCACAGAGCAGATGCTGGAGATGCAGTTCAAGTGCTCCAAGATGGGTGAGATGAAGTACTACTTGGGGATGTATGTGGAGAGAGACGTCAGGGTGATTGGAGTATAGTGCTCTGAGACAGAAGCTGCAAAGAGGTGCAGCAGATGTGAAGAGTGGAGAAGTGCTCTTGAGTTGCTATACTGATGCGAGCTTCAACTCAGTGAAAGCGGATGGCACCAACATTGGGGGTTATGTGTGCTTGCTCGGAGGTGGTGCTGTGAGCTGGCGCAGCAAGAAGGAGAATGAAGTGGGATTGTCCTAATGTGAGACTGAGTACATGGCCTTACATCATGGTGCCAAGGAAGTGGTATGGCTGAGGCGGCTGTTGGAGGAGTTGGGTGTTGGTCAGGAGGAGCCGACAGTTCTGTTCTGTGACAATGAGTCTGCAGTGAGGCTGGCCAAGAATGCTTGTCTGCATGGGCCAAGTGGCACTGGGTGAGGAGACTCCTTGATAAGGAGGTGCGGCTGGAGAAAGTGAAGACCCATCAGCAAGCAGCAGATATTTTCTCGAAGTGTCTAGCAAAGGCGGATCATTGGAAAGACATGAAACTTGCTGGGATGAGTGTGCATTAATTATGCATGCTTGAGATGTTGGTATGTTGCATGATGGTTGGCAGCCAGAGGGGGAGATTGCTATGTGATGTCATCATATGCCATCACATTCTGTCTGCCTCCCATCCCATGTGTGCTTTGAATGTATGCAAGCATTTAGTGCCACGCTTTTTCGTCTTACACGTTCGCGTATGAAAATGCGTCTGTAATCTCAAAGGGTTTTTGGTTGATGGTTTATCGAGGAGATCAAGTTGGGGGACCAAGTTGTCGTATCATTGCAGGCAAGTCTCTTATGCAATTCTCCATATATTGTGGCGACGTTCGGAAGGTGTTGAATTCATTAAACAGTACATCATTTTTCTGTAATAGTTTGTGTTTTTCGTTACACAGTATATCCTTGGCCCGATAATGACCGACATGGTCTAGCATCTCTTGTTTGACACGAGTCCCGATAACGCTATCCATTTGGATAAATGCTAGTTTATACATTTTAAAGAATATGTTTTGTGGACAACTCGAGAATCGACAGTCTTTATTCATAACCTCCCACTTAGCAATATCGCGATAGCTAAGACTCGACGCATCAGTTGCTGACAAACGAGATTCTCCACAGAATAGGGTTGGGAATGCCAGTTCTTCGACGTACATATCCATCAATATCGGCAGCTGTTTGGAGCCTTCTCCCTGTGCCATTTCTACAATGTGTTGTTCGAGGTTTTGATATAGAGGTTCATCTTAAAGTATCGTGTCCAACGTTCCAACATTCAAGTCGGTTCCATCAAATCATTTTCCACTTCATCATCTGAGGGGCATAAATAATTTTGTGTTTGATCATAGGACCCCTCAGAAATGCTCAATACATGGTGGTTCATGGCCTCAAGTTCATCCTGCAATGACCTACTCGATCTGGATCGAAATATTCCGAATTATTTAAACAACTCATCTTTCTTCAAATACGACAAAGCTCGAGCTATCTTATGCGGTCGAACATTATCCTCAAAGACATTATGAGTGTGCTACATCTTCCGTTTAAGTCGAACTCGTAATGGATGTGCTTGATGTGTAAGCCATGGCAACGATGTAACCATGTCGACGACTTTTACTCGAACATTTACAATACCTCCTCGAATCTTGTATTGCTTTCGAACGTGACCTTGTGTAACATTGGCAAAAACAATCCATGGTGACACTAAACGCTCTTCTATATAATTTCTTGTCAAAGTATATATTAAAATATATTTTTGTGTGGGCTTGGTAGTTGTACTACTAACTGAATCCTACTGTAGAGAGGACAACCCCACCATCTTGTATCTCCTTCTCTTCTAGTTCATCTTCCTTTTCTCTCGCCAACTTCTCCTCCCTCTCGTATCTCTCGCCCCCTAGCTTAACCTCTCGACATTTTCATGGAGTCTCACCTAGCTACCTTCTAGCAACCTTATTGTGCTATTCTAATATGGTATCAAAGCAGGTTCAACCTGCTGGACCTTCTTCTCTCGCTTCCGCCGCGCACTCCTCCTCTCTCTCTCTCGCTGCCATGGCGGCCGCGTCGTGCTGCTGTGGCAGCATCGTCGCACCGCCGGCCGTGTCGTGCTGCCGCGGCGGTCTCGACGCGCTGCCGTAGCAGCCTTGTCGCGCTGTCGTGGTGTCAACGTCAAGCCGTGGCGGCGTCGTCGTGCTGTTGCGGCGTCGTCGATGCGCCAGCGCACGAGCAGCAGCGGGCCGCACATCGTGTTAGCCGCGTCCAGCCCGCCCGCACGCCAGTAAGCACCGCGCCAGCCATGGCACCGCGTTGAAGATCCGCCCCCCACCCCTTCCCCCTTCCCCTCCTCTGCCTTTCCCCTCCTTCCCGCCGCAGCTGCTGGCAACCTCGTGCCGTCATTCCCCTTGTCGTCGCAGGTTGGGCCATGCCGCCGAGTGCTGCGAGCTCCGCCGCCGCAGCAGCTGGTGCCGCTGGCGTCGCCGCCGCCGCTGTCGTCGCTGCCGCCGTCGCCGCCGTTGCAGCCGCTGCCGACGTTGCCACCTCACTTGCCGAGGGGTCGACCAGCTGGTCGACGCCACTGCTGCTGCAGGGAATGGGGGTGCAAGGATGTGGGGGTGCTACGGGTGGGATGGGCTTGTCACTACCAAGCCTAGGGGGTGTGTCAAAGTATATATTTAAATATATCTTTGTGTAGGCTTGGTAGTTGTGCTACTTACTGAATCCTATTATAAAGGGGACAACCCCCCCTTCTTGTATCTCCTTCTCTTCTAGTACATCTTCCTTTTCTCTCACCAACTTCTCCTCCCTCTCGTATCTCTCGCCCCTAGCTAAACCTCTCGCCATTTTCATTGCGTCAACACCACTACCTTGGGGGTTTACTGTGGAGCCATGTGCTGATGAGGAGGTAGTGGGTGAGAGTGATAGGAAGCTGTTTCATTCGATAGTTGGGTCACTGAACTATGCTGCAAATTATACATGGTCTGACATTGCATTGGTCATGTGACTCATGTCCTGTCCTGTCCTGTCCTGTCCTCATGTGGTTGGGAGCCGTGGTAACATCCAAAGCTAGACTACCTACTGTAAGCTCGATGTTGCAGCCACCGCCAATGTTGCGGCTGTGTGTAATGAGTTCCTCCCACTACTGCAGCGGCGGCGCTGGTTAAGATTGCAGCAGTTGCCGCTACAGGTTCAGCTACTATAATTATGAATATCAGCTATTTTTAGTGCTGGCTACTGCTAGTGTGTATGGCACGATGTTGATGAGAGAATGAAGTCATGTAATGCTATATTTTATTGCAAAAGCATCTGACCCCCTAAAACCACGGTCTCTAATAACACGCACTATTAAGGGGGGAATTAAGGCACCCTGTATTGTCAGTGTAAAAAAAATCAGAACATAGGGTTACTGTGAAGTCTTGGGGGAAATTCTGAGGACCAGTCTGACTTTCATAGTAGTGGAAAATGACATACCCATATTTCAGAGTAGTAAAACCCCAAAGATCAGCACTGCTGGAGACCTATTCCATCAAGTTGAAAGAATGACTAGCGGATTAAAAAAACCCTGTTGTAACAAGTGTAATTAGAAGGCCCTCCCTTCAAATTAGGTACCTCCCCCACACCCCCACCTCGATTCCCCCCAACCCCGTGCTCTCTCCCTCCCCCACAACCTCCCCCTCCTTGTTTATGTTCCCTTTTGGTCGCTTAGGAACTGATTTGTCCACTTTGATTTGGCTCCGATCTGGGAAAGGTACACAGAACAGCCCTTTCAATTGATTGCCGATCATTCATGTGTACTATGATGGAAATGTTAAATTAGTCACTAAATTGAACTACATGAAACTGAGAAGTGAATTTAGTGAAAGTACTACAAGAATGGTGGTCTGAAGTTAGAATGAGGCTAATGGCATCCTCAAGTGTGTGCATTAGGCGAATATAACGGTGCCTTCGACGAATAAAAGGATTCTCCATGTTGATGCCTTAATGGGGCGATTGGTGTGGCAGCTCCATGCTGGCACGGCCACGGGGTAGTGCGTCAAACACACGTGGTCTGTCGCAGTCCTGGCTAGACACGGCGTCACACACAGGTCACCGACGGAATTCATGCCACGCAGGCAGTCATGCCTCTTCGTGCCAAGCCCCGCTTTCGGGGCCTGCGACGGGTGTGGACAGGACCTGCGATGACAACGAGGGACGTCCGCTGTATTGCGAAATCTATGCTGTCGTGTCGTGTCCTCGCCTACACGCTGCCAGCGACGAGTTTCTGTCGCAGGGCTTGACTTGGTTTGGTTCCCTTTTGACTCGGCTCTACTCTTTGGGGGAAGGCGGCCTCCTTGCTTCCTCCCCTCCCCTCTCCCCCTCTGGAATTCATCCACCCAGACACCACCACCCAGCAGGTAAACAGCCAGACTCCACCACCACATTATAGAATCGCCCTTAGTATTTTGTCCTCCCTTCACCTGTTAGGGGTCTCCGGTATTTTAGGTGCGCTCCTATCAATCTTGCCCTACACGAGCCAGTCATGAGCAGCGAACCTTCACAATTCAAGCCAGAGAAGCCTGGTGACACGGGGAACAGCTACGGAGAGGTTGATATGTCAGCTCCGATCTACCAAGACGACCTGGACCGCGCGGGAGGGTTTGGAACCCGCGATGCCATTGGCACACCATTTCCTGAGGCTGTAGATGCCACTGATTTTGAAGAAGCTGTTGGAGAGCCCGTGGATGCTGCTGAGACTCAACCTACCGTCCCACACATCGGCATTGGCTACGACGATGACCAAGCTGAGGCTTCTATTGGTCAGGAGCCGAATGACTTGTCATATCAAACGCTGAACGACTACTTCGTGCCGGCGTCCGGACAGACTCAGGGTATTCCGATGTTGAGGCCTCCTGGGACCGATGCAGTGCCGAGGATTGATGCCTGTTTCGCCTAGTTTTACGTTCCGTTTTCCCAGCATGTTCGCCGCTTTCGTCCGTTCATCCGCTCAGCAGCAGTCCAAGTCTTGCTTCTTCGCCACACTTAGGAGTTGTCATTCCGCATGGGCGTCTGTGCATGTTCTGCAGGTAATGCAAAATCGAAGTAAGGCTTGCGGTGCTTTCAAGATGCAAGCCATCACACTGTGAGACTCAGAGGTTTGCTCACGTGTACATTTCTGCAGGGATCCTGCTACATATTTAGAACACTGATAGGCTGTGTGATGGCTTGAGGTCTTCAATTCTTCTGGCCGTCCTTGTTGCTTGTATATTATCAAAGTTGCAGTGATGGATCTGCGGGGTCACTCTGTCTGTCCGCTCATTTATACCAGAATAACTAGTTTCTGTTAAAAACCATTTTTCCTGTCCCTACGAGAATGACTGCCCAGCATCAAGCCCCGCATCTTTGTTCCCTTACTACATGCCCAGCATTCTAGCATTTGTTTGTTGTCGTGAGACAACTAAAGGTCAAGCTACTTGCGAATTCTCGAGAAGTCTGTACAGGAGTTTCAGCCATCAAGCCTAGGCTGTTCACTGAAAACTGACACGTAGGAGAAGCCTAGATGGCCTAGAAAAAGTCTTAGCAAGCTATAGGCGCCACGCCCTAAAGCTCCGAGCACACAGTCAGAAGCGAACCAAAACACTGACCCAAGGTTCACCAAGACTCTGTAACGGCATGTGCTCAATCGCACGGCTAACAAACAAACCCACACGATATACAGCAACAGAGGACACACTGTGGTTTCTATCTCTGGGCTGGCGCAACCAACTGGTGAAGACAGGCGTTCCCCTCCCCAACCCCGGCTTTCAGAGCATCCTTAGCAAGTACCGTCCAGTTCCAACACGTACCAACGAGGTAAACACTACTCAGAGCACGGAGCACCGCAGAACGGGCAAAACCTGTAACCTGACTGCAGGGGAGCACGGCACGACCAGCATGGGAAGGTCCCAGGAACCTCCTGCTGCTGCTGCTGCTGCTGCTGCTGCTGCTGCTGCTGCTGCTGCTGCTGTGGGAACCGCGTCTCAGGCGGAAGTGGCGGCTGGTACTGCTCCCGTCTAGCTGCTTCGCCTTCTTGCATGCGTGAGTAGTCCTCCATGGGCATGCGGAACCAGCAGTCAGGACACGAGACGTATGGTCCGGACGACTTTCCCCGCCAAACGGGGATGAAGAACAACCGCGTGACTTGCTGCATCTCCACGAGATCCGCTGGTGACCGACATCTCGGGCATATGGCCGCTGCCGACTGGATGAGCTTCGATTCAGGGAGCGAGCTGAAGATAAAGAAGAACATGACGCGCGATTTTATCGTAGACCAAAAAAATATGGTGGCAGCTCGTGGGCGGAACTGGGGCCAGAGTACCCTGGGGTGGAAGATGCGCACAACAAAAGGTGGATGTTCCCATTTCGAATTCTGCTGATTCGTGAAGCGTACAAAAAAGGACTGAGTGAATGAAAAGGGAAGTACCCTTATGTTTGAAGGAAAATAATTGGGTCACACCTAGCACAAAATTACAACACCAAAGCTTACCACTCACGCCATCGATCCACCTGGTTTTATCCGCAAACCCCCTGTACCATACTACAACTCAAACATCCAGCAGTCTTGACTTGATTATTCGGTTTTTCTTCACTCGGTACATCGATCGATACTGATGTATCGCCCTCCGTTGGCCCGCTTTCCCTCTGTCAGTTTCCTTGGCCGTTTCCCTTGTCACTTGGCTTGGGTGTGCATCCGAGCTTGTGGGATGGCCAGTGCTCCTTATGGCAATCTCTGCTGCAATACACCACCTTGTCACACCAAGCACAGCTCTTCAGCTTCACGCCGCCACCCTATGCCCTCCCACACCCAACTGCACCACACATATGTGTTAAAACATATTTGTGTATCTTTAGTAGACTACATACGGCCTTGCCATAGAGAGTACAACCCACTAGCTATATACTAATGTACTCTCTCATTCTAGTCATTCGTTCTAACTTTGAGATGGTATCATGAGTAGGTTAGGTCCCACCCGCCCACCCGCACTTCCGCCTTAGGTCCTAGCCTTCCCCGTCGCCTAGCTCCTAGCCGCCCCACGGGCCCCACCGCCCCGTTGCCTTGCTGGCCCCACGGTCCCGTTCCCTAGCGCCTAGCTGTCCGTGGCCCTGCGGCCCCGTCACCTAGCGCCTAGCCCCCGCGGCCCCGCTCCCCTAGCTCTTAGCCGCCCATGGCCCCGTGGGCCCCTGTCACCTAGCGCCTAGCTTCCGGCGGCCCCGTTGCCCCGCCCCGTCGCGCCTAGCCGCCCGGCTGGCCCCGCGGCCCCGTCGCCTAGCACCCAGCCTCCCCGCGGCTTAGCAGCCCCGTCGCCTAGCCGCCCCATGGCCCCGTAACCCAGCCGCCCCGCGGCCCCGTCGTCCCAGCTGCCCCGCGGCCCAGTCACCCAGCCGCGCCCCGTCGTCCCAGCTGCCCCGCGACCCCGTCTCCCAACTGCTCTGCGGCCCCGTTGTCCCAGCTGCCTCGCGGCCCCGTCGCTCAGCCGCCCCGCGACCCGTCGCCCCTCTGCGCCGCGGCCCTGTCGCCCAGCCGCCCCGCGGCCCTGCTGCCCAGCCGACCAGCAACCCGTCGCCCTGCTGCTCCGCAGCCCCGTCGCCCAGCCGTCCCACGACCCAGTCGCCCAGCCGTCCCGCGGCCCAGTCGCCCAGCTGCCCCGCGGCCCCGTCTCCCAGCTGCTCTTCGGCCCCGTCGCCGGCCACCCCTCGGCCCCGTCTCCCAGCTGCTCAACCGCCATAGTTTCCGGTCCCCGCCCGCTTCACCTGCCCTCTCTACCGTCCTGAACCGCACCCCACCGTGCTGCACCGCCCAGCACCGCAGTGCACCGCGCCCCACCGCACTCTACCGTATCATCCCTTCCCACCGTTCCTCGTCACTCCGTCGCCGTCTATTCGCGGTTTCAGCGGCCCTCATGGCAGACTCGGTGCTGCGCTTTGATGCGGATGGTCAGCCGATTGAGTTCGACTCCTGGCTCGTCGATCTCCGCCGTCACCTCACTGGTCAGCGACAGGACGGCCACTTCCTGGCCGTCCACTTTGACGGTACGCTCCCTTGCCCTGGCCCCCCTGTTGCTCTCCCCGCTGACCCCACGTCTGCTGACCGTGAGTTCGTTGCCGCTGCTGCCCTTGCCCGTGCTGTCTGGCTGTCGCGTGACGCTGTCGCTCAGCTTGCGATTAACCATGCCCTACCCCTATCGGAGCGCCCCCGCTTTAAGTCGGTCAAGACTGCGTAGGAGTTCCTAGAGGCTGTTGTCGAGCGTTATTCCACCCCGTCCTCTGCCTTTGCCGGCCGCCTGATCCTTCCCATGGTCTTCCCTGATCTCGCATCTTTCCCCACCATCACTGACCTGGCCACGCACCAGCGCACGCTCAAAGCTAGTTGGCGCGCTGCCTGCACTGAGGCCCAGCTTTGTGTGTTCCAACCCCCTATCTACTCTATCCTTTACCTACTTGCCACCCGCCTCCCCGACCGCCTTGCCACTGCACGCAACCACTTTCTTAGTCTGCACCCCACTGACCTCACCCTCTCCGACTTTGTCGACACCCTATCAGCCATAGAGACCCGTCAGCGCTCTATCGCCCAGTCTAGCGGTTCTGCGCCGGTCCCTATCTTTCAGGGTTGTGCTCCCACTCAGTGCACTTACTCTGACGCTTCTGCGGCTGTAACTAAGACAGCCCTTGCTGCTGAGACCGCTGCCCAGTGGCAGCAGCGTAGTCCCGTTATGGTAAGGCTCGCCGCCCCAAGGCTGGGCGCGGCGGGGGTAGTGGAAGAGGGGGTGGAGGTGGTGGTGGAGGTGGTTCGTCTGCACGCAATTGTACAGACGAGGGTGCTGGGGCAGGTGCCTCAGAGTAGCAGCCCCAGCGGGAGCAGCAGCAGGTGCCACAACTTGGCCAGCAGCAGCCACAGCAGCAGCAGCAGCAGTTGCAGCAAAGGGTCGGCCGCCTCTCGCCTCGGTGGTCTGGCGCTGGTGGAGGTAGTGGTGGTGGTCACGGTGGTCGTGCGCGTGGCTCGGCGTCGGGTGGTGGTGCGAGTGACAGGCGCTGCCAGTACCAGCTCCAGACCGGTCCTCGTCGCGGCCTTGTGTGCAGTAAGACCGGTCATACCCCCACTCGCTGTTTCAGTCACCTGGACGACCTGTTTCGTCTTCGCTTTGGCCCCGCGCCGGACCTCCTCGACTGGCATAGTCTGCTCCGCCGTGGTGTTAGGATCTTTGATATAGATATGGATGAGATTAGCTCTGCAGTGTATATGCTGAATGTTGATGACTCTAGTGTGATTGGTTCCTATTACCCCGTGTTGTGTAGTGTAGGTGTATCCAGTATGCCTAGTTTAGGCTCCCCTGCTGCGTCAGGCGTAGGACCCTCTGCTTTGTCTAGCCTTGGCCCCACACTAGCTCCACTGCCCCCAGCCGCAACTGCCGCGCTCTCCTTCACTCTCGACTCGAGCGCATCTCAGTGCTTCTTTCGAGACCACACTACGCTTACGCCGCTCGCCGTCCCTGCCGCAGTTACCCTTGCAAACCCTTCCTCAGGTCCGGTAGTCGCACGTAGTTCCACTACTCTCCCCTCTTCGGCAGATCCTTCAGGCTCTCTTACAGGTCTGCGCATCCCCTTGTTCTCTCGGAACCTAGTTGGTGTCGACTGTCTTCATGACCTCGGTGTCACGACTACGTTCCCTGGTCACGAGAGGTACGCTGTCTGAACCGAGGCTGCCACTGGTGCCCCACTCACCACGCTCCCCCGGGACCCGCTAACCCGCCTGTTCACGCTGGACATCGAGTCCCCCCCGGTTGGGACGCCCCCCTAGGTGGCAGCGTCTACCCAGGTTGCTGCGGCTTGCTCGTGTTGGTTGCTTACTCACCCGTCGCTTTTGTGGCACCACCGTCTCGGTCACCCAGCTCTCACCCGTCTCTGTCACATGTCCTAATACGGTCTTATCTTACGTCTCCCTGCATCGTTCCCCGCGCTCCCCTCCTCGGCAGTGCCTCTGTGCACCCCCTGCGTCGAGGGCCAACTCCGCCATGCCCCTCACTCCTCCTCGTTCCCCCCCACCACTGCACCATTACAAACCCTGCACATGGATGTCTACGGCCCCGCCCCCGTCCATGTGCCATGTCGTCAGCGTTACTTTCTAGTGCTTGTCGACGACTACACTCGCTACACCAACATGTTTCCCCTGGAGCAGAAGGCTGACGTGCCTGATGTTCTTATCCCATGGCTTTTCTTTGCGTGTGTGCACCGCGATCTTCCTGTGTTGCGTCTTCACTCTAACCGTGGTGGCGAGTTCGTCTATGGGTGCTTTGGTCGCTTTTGTCGTGCAGAGGGCATCACCCAGACGTACACCCTTCCGGAATCCCCGCAGCAGAATGGGGTTGCTGAGCGACGCATCCGTTTGGTCATGGAGGTGGCTCGTACCTCTATGATCCATGCCAGTGCACCCCATTTTCAGTGGCCGTTCGCTGTTCGCTATGCCGCCCACCAGCTTAACCTGTGGCTGCACCCGCAGTGGCCGCAGGTTTCGCCGACCCTCCTCTGGACCGGGTCTCCTGGTGACGCGTCAGCGTTCCACGTCTGGTGTGTCTCACGTCATCCCCCTCCCATCGGTTGTCCTTGTCGAGGGATCTGCTAACTCTTGTGGCTCGGCAGAGTCCCTTCACTCGCCTATCCCTGCCTCAGTCTCTCCTCCCCTGTCGCCGCCGTTGCTGTCACCGCCGCAGCCGCCTCCACAGGTGCCGTCGCCGCCGCAGCCGCAGCCGCCGTCGTCACCGCCGCTGGGGTTTGTGTGTTCTGGGGGTGCTGGGGAGCGTGCTGGAGTGGGTACTGGAGCGGGTTCCCGTTCTGGGGGTGCTAGAATGGGGCTTCCCAGAGGGAGTCGTGGTCCTGCTGGAGGTTCTGGTGTTGGCGTCGGGCAGCAGTCGTCGCCGTCGCAGCCGGTGTCCGCTCTACGCCTCCTCGGCCTTCCTTCTCCTGACTGCCCGCCGGTGCCTCCTCGGTCGCCACCGCCTCCTCCTATGCCGGTCTACGGCCCTGTGTTTCCTCCAGTGGACTCTTCTCGGGATCGTTTCCCTCCTCGTTCTCCTCCTGTGTCTCCTCCGCTCTCTCCTGACCCGGCTCCTCCGTCTCACGTCTGGGCTCCTCGTCCGTCTCGTGCTCGTCCTACCTCCCCTGTTCTGCCTTCTCACCCTATGTTGCTTTGCTCCCACGCGTCTCGTGCTCCTCTGCTCTTCCCGTCTCCTCCTCCGTCGTCACTCGCTCTGGCCCCACCTCCGTTTTCTGACTTCCTCCGTGCCCCGCGTCGCCTTGTTCCTCGTATCCTTGCCTT